GTCAAAAAAGAAATTTTTCTTAAAGTAATTGGGATCGTTAGCAGAGGTAGCAAGCTGTTCAAAACTGTCGGTCCTTTAGCGGTACGCCTTGATTTGACCAAACTACGACTGAAAGACTGGAATGAAAAATTGTATTTTTGACTAAAATCTGAATATCGTATTTTCAAAATTCACTTTTTTAAGGGTTGCACCCAGATGTACCTAGGGTTGCACCCAGATGTTCCTATGGTTGCACCCCTTTTAAAATCGGAATCCTATTTTTTCGCCCTCAAAATTCACTTACAAAAAATGGGGAAATTGTCAAGGTTGTACCTAGGGTTGCACCCAGATGTACCTAGGGTTGCACCCCTTACAAAATCGGAATCCTATTTTTTTGCCCTCAAAATTCGTGTATTGGCTGCTTTAAAAAAAACTAAACGTCAGACTGAGGAATGTCATACCTCGTTGAGCTCGTTGCTTAATTTCCAATTCATTGGCATTCAAACCTGAAAATGTTTAACTTTTCGCATTTGTCGCAAAAAAAGACGATGCACAAAAAATGCGAAAATTTGTCAAAAAATAAATTTTCCTTAAAGTAATTGGGATCGTTAGCAGAGGTAGCAAGCTGTTCAAAACTGTCGGTTTTTTAGCGGTACGGAATGAAAAATTGTATTTTTGACTAAAATCTGAATATCGTATTTTCAAAATTCACTTTTTTGCAGGGTTGCACCCAGATGTACCTAGGGTTGCACCCAGATGTTCCTAGGGTTGCACCCCATACAAAATCGGAATCATATTTTTTAAAATCTGAATATCGTATTTGACCGAAATCGGAATCCTATTTTTTCGTCCTCAAAAAACCTAGGGTTGCACCCAGATGTACCTAGGGTTGCCCCCAAATGTACTTAGGGTTGCACCCCTTACAAAATCGGAATCCTATTTTTTCGCCTTCAAAATTCGCTTTTTGGCTGCTATAAAAAAACTAAACGTCAGACTGAGGAATGTCATACCTCGTTGAGCTCGTTGCTTAATTTCCAATTCATTGGCATTCAAACCTGAAAATGTTTAACTTTTCGCATTTTTCGCAAAAAAGACGATGCACAAAAAATGCGAAAATTTGTCAAAAAATAAATTTTCCTTAAACTAATTGTGATCGTTAGCAGAGGTAGCAAGCTGTTCAAAACTGTCGGTCCTTTAGCGGTACGATTTGATTTGACTAAACTACGACTGAAAAACTGGAAAGAAAAATCGTATTTTTGGCTGCTTTAAAAAAAACTAAACGTCAGATTGAGGAATGTCATACCTCGTTGAGCTCGTTGCTTAATATTCAATCCATTGGCATTCAAACCTGAAAATTTTAATCTTTTTTCATTTTTTGGAAAAAAAGACGATGCACCCCCTTAGTGCGACACTCTAGACGCATTCCAGATTGCACCCAGATGTACCTAGAGGGTGCCAACTCTAATAATTCCCAACTGTTTATTCTGAAAGTACTCGGTATATAAGGCGCATAAACTAGACAGTGTTAATGCCCGTGAGCGGCATTTACTTACTTACTTCGTTTACTTACGTAAACTTAAAATATTAATATTATTTATATATATCACGATTGTTTCTACAACTAGAATAAAATAAAAACTCATTTAATTTCATAATTATTGCACACTCATGCCTGCAACTTTCTTACTTTGTTGTTAAATCTTTCTTGCTTTTAGCCCAAATATGATTTGATTTAAGAATTATTCATCATTGATTGAAGACCGAAAGGTTCTTAAATCTAGTAATTTCGGTCTTGAAAATTCATGCTCGAAACTAGTATTTTGTTTTCGGGTTCTGTATTTTCCATGCTTGGCGAAACTTCACTCATTTTTAATGCACCTGAACCATGTACCTAGGAATGCACCCAGATGCACTAAGGATGCAACCCAGATGCACCTAGGGTGCAACCCAGATACACCTAGGATGCAACCCAAATGGACCTAGGAATGCACCCAGATGCAACTAATATTTAAATAGGAAATTAAAATATTCTTAGTTATTCCAAAATTAAAGTGATTTAAAACGAAAAATGACCATATAAGGGCAAGTAAATTTTCCTTATCATATTAAAGTGGTTATATTGATACCTTAAAGATCTCAAAACAAACTATACAAAGTTATACAAAATTAATCATTCTTTCTTTTTGATTTTAATAATTAATCAAAAAACTTTAATATTCATCACCCAGTAACTTTTCTTTGTTTTCCTTGATTGTATTTCGCCTAAGATGAAGCAGCCGAACTCGGCTGTTTGACTTGGTGGAAGTTCAGTTGTTTTTCGGAGCGGCTGCTTTTGAGTGACACATTTCACGCCGAAAGTTTTCAAAAACCCACAGACACATTGACAAAGGAAACTTTCGGGTTGTTTTCCGAGGTCGGAATGTGTTGGTTAAGTGGTTTAGGACCTCTATCCCCAGACGAGGATAGAATTGCCTGCTTACATGTGTCACAATGTCGCTCAATTTTAATTGAATTTATTTGCTCTTTGGCTACACTGTTTTAAAGTAGAACTTCTTTCTACTACTTTACTCTCCGGACTTTGTTTGTATTTCTTTGCTACTTGTGCATTTCAAGAACTCTATTTAAACCTAACTAACTTGCTTTTCCATCATCCTCGGCTTGCCATGAAATTGCAATTTGTAAACTATTTTCAGCTGACGTCTCATTTGCTTTATGGTCCTGCTCCTGGTTATTTTTCCCTCCACTCCTCCGTTTAGTCTCATATAATTCATGTCACACAAAAATTTTATTGCAGCAAAAAGAAGGAAAAAGAAGCCACACAACAAATAACTTTTGCTTGCCAGTGGCCAGTGGACAGAGCCACAAATAGTTTCCAGCACTTGGCCATAACAAAAAGACCAAAACAGACTCGTGTACAACGAAACCAGTCAACAGCAAATAACAGATATGCTATTTTGCTTTTCAACGCAAATACATAATGACAATTTATGTAGCTGAAATTCTGCTACAGGTGGAGATAAGAGGATTTTGAAATTTTTAATTTGCTAAAGGGGTTTTTTGTGTAGCAGAGATGAAGACTAGAACTTCAATTCAATTCAATTTAAGCTTGGTTTTTATTAATAAAAGAAAATTGAGTTCCTCATAATCCTTTACATTTTATTGAAGCGATATTTGTGATATTGTTTCTTGTAAGTACAAATCCGATGATTCTATTTGAAACTATTTTTTTTTTAACGTCAAGGGAAAATTAAAAATAAATAAGTAAAAAAATATGTAAGCAATTTATAATATATTAGTTTTTCAAGCAAAAAACTAAAATGAAAATGTAAATAAATATATTATCAATTGATAATATCTGAAAGAAATAATTTAAGAAATTATTAATGTCTTCTTTCAAACTGAGAACTATAATGATGGTTCCTATATTTTTCCTTACCTGTACATAACCTTGTAATGTAAATCCCATGAACTCTGCGTTACAGTAGGTTTAATTATAGTTTTTAAAATCCATTCTTCTACTAATTGAATAACATATGACCTTTAAGATGTTAATAAGTAATTTTTCTTGTAAGTTTTCAAAAAATATGTACCCTTGCTTCGACCAAGACTCGCTCTCAGGCCTTATACCTACATATATCCACATTTTCCATCCTCGGGATGGGTAACCAAATAATGTCACTTAAGTCGATGCCGCTGCCCGGGGTTCTGAGTGGGTTTCGAGTGGAGAGTGGGTCCGAGAACATGACTTACGACCGCACATTCGTAACGATTAAATTGCAGGCCAGGTAAGCACAACTTGACAGGGGCCTCCGGCTTGATGAAGAGCTCTGGTCCGGACAGTTTATTAGTTTGCTTCCCCGAAAGCTATTTTGAAATGGGTTCCAGTAAGTCGGCACAAGATGCCAGCAAAATGTAGCAATCTTATTCGGAATGTGACAGGCCACAATCGCCATCGGATTGGCTTTGATTCAGAAGCCCTATTCTCTTAACCAAAATGCTCGTAATTAATTCATATATTTGAGTTCAAATAATGCATATTCATTAGGCAGCGCCATGGGGAGTAATTCGATTAGCAACGTAAACGAATTTATATTTGTCCATTCACTGTTTTGTCACCGTTGGAACCGAGTTCCGCGTTTTATTCACTACGCCCATCGGCAATATTTGCGAAATTATCATGTTGCCATGGTGGCTGCGGTTAACCAGGGCTTTAAGCACAAATGCCGAGCAGTAATCATCAAAATCAAAGGGCCATTCAGTTGATAATTGCGCAATAAATGCGCAAGTACGGGCATTAATGCAAATTAAAGTTTAAATGGCTGTCAATGGTTTTTGCTTTTTGAATTATAAATTGTTAAGTGATTGATGGAAATGGCTATTTAAAGACGGCAAAGCTGTGTTACGAGAAAATTTCTCTAAGTTAGCCTAGTTAACTTTAATCAATTAAGTGCCCATATAAGTAGTTTATCCTCCGAGTAGATCCTTCAGAATTTATGCAGTAGTTTTTACTTATTCAATAAGCGTTGGCAAAGTTATTCGGAATACCTTGAGCAGCATAACTTTTACCAGCGTTGGAGAAAAAAACTTTTCCCCATATTGTCTTTTTGTTCTGTAATGTTCGATCCGGTTATGAACTTTCTCGTCGAACTTTTGGCATGCCAGCGTTTTAATTGAAGCCCAGGAACACACCTTGTGTTTGTTGATGCACCTGCGGAATGGGATGAATGTTGAGGGCTGTTGACCCAGTTGAGGGTTAATACCCGTACCCCCTCCCTGATCCCCTGATCCTGACCACACAAAGACCCTCAACTGGGTACATAAATTACCTAGTGACAAATCGCCCGTCTGCACATTTGTCCTATTTGTCATTTGTTGGTTTATTTGATCAAAGCATGCCAGCAGGGCAGGCAACTTTGTCACACGCTGAGAAGATGGAGCAATCCTCCTTCTTATAAAATTAGTATATTATGGAAATACTTTGGTATGGCATTCGCCCCCTCAATCATTGAAAAAGCCTCTCCCTTTGTTTCAACATCCATTATTTATTCGTGTGTCGGTAATCCGTATTTTAAATCATCTTTTTCTGCTACATGCGTATAGTTTTTACTTTAGTTTTAATACTCAGCTGTGTCTCATTGGTGATATTAGTTTTAATCCTCAATTTCTTTTTTTAACATGCAATATTACGTAGCTTTAATATTTTTTTATTTCCACATTGATCTGTTTATTTTAATTTGTAATTTCCAATTGTGCACTTTTTTTTTTAACGCGTACATGCTACAAACACAACCCTTAACTAGTGGGTGTTGAGTCAACAACATTTTTCTTAAGATACTATTACTTATTTCTAAAAATTTCATGGATATACCACCTAAGCTTAAACCATATTCATTCATATTTTAAAACCTAGCTTAAATTGAATTTCACTTTGGCTATTATGATTTTTGTATGATGCTAAGAATATTTTTATAATTTATTTAGCCTACGCATATAATTATTTTTTATCTATAAAAATGCCTTTCCAAGTTTCCATAGCTTAAATAATTCGTTCGTAATACATTGATACAACAGCCAACATTTAATTGTAGCTTAGAATTCATAAAATTGTTCTATACTAATTTATTTAAGTTTTATTGGGTTTTCTTAAGACTTTGATGAGACCCTTTCGTACTTTAATGCCATTCTGAATTACCTTTATTTTATCGATCAATCAATGAGTATTCCCTTAAATCTCAGCAATTTCTAACTTACTATAGTAAAACACTGACTAAGATTAACTATAATTACGTATACGCAGTGGAAACATGTGATCTCAAAGCAGGAAAAACCAAAAGTACACCAAAGCATGTGACATGTTTTCGAAAGCCTAATTCAAGTCAGACTCAAACTTTCAAAAGCGGGGCTCATGGTCAGCACAATTTTGCGTACTTTTGGTTTTTGGGTCTGCATATTTTTGCCATCCCATTTCCGTACTCCATTTATTTTAAGCATTTGATGCGCTTACATGTTAATGCCAATTTATATTTTTTTTATTTATGCCTAGGCTCAAAAACACTTTACAAGCTTGTCGAGCACCTTACACATATAAAAATGGCTTCGTCGGCTGTCTTACACCTGACACATTTATTTGCTATGAAATATTTTGTGATAAAATAGTTTTATGCTCCGTCTGCCAGCAGTTAAAGTTAGTTATTTTATTATGCACACACGTGGCCTTAAATTTAGCTATAACCGCACTGATATTGCTGGAACTAAAATGATTTGTAATGTATTAAAAATATACAGGTGAATATGACAGCTATTAAATTGATAAAACCTATTTTTTTGTTGCATTTTCGGAATTAAGAAGTGGGTTAAAATATGCTATCATGACGTTTCGAGTTACTATTTTTTTGAATGCCTGCTGGCGAATTTTTGGCCATGTCAGCTGTCAGTCAGCTTCAATACTCGTAAATTCATCGATCTGGTTCTGTTGGCCCGTGCAAATCTCATCAATGTCAGCTTTCTCATGCCAGGTTTTATTTATTTATTTTTTGGCCCTATGGTGCTCCATCAGCCGTGGAAATGTTTGCTTTTTTCAAGTCGAGCAAATTATTTTTCTTCTGTTCTGCAGGGCCAACAACGAGTTAGAGGTGGGAGGCCTTGAGTTGACATATTTCCACACAATTGGGCCGAAAAACCAGCGCTCGAAATTTAATTCCGTGTGACTGGCGAAAGCCTGGCCCAAACGACAAATGTCTGACAGTTGTTAGGTACAAATTGAAAGCGACAAAGGCAAACTGTTCTTCGGAGAGCGGCTGGAATCACCCTTCGAGGCATTGTAAATATGCGAAATGGCCCGGCAATTGTCGCGGCCTGAATGGCAACGGAAAATTCGGCAAAAAATAGCAGTATAAAGTATAAAGAGGCGGTTCTGCCCCAGGCCCCCCCCACACACACACACATCAGAACCCCCATTACCCCACCCAGTCACACCCATAGAACATTTATATATATACATCTGATATCATTGACTTGTGTAGCTGTTTCAGCCAATTGCTAGACAACCTCCCCTTCTCCATCACTTGCCACATCGTTGTCACTTGGTTTGCCATTTATCAGCATTTTTCTGCTCATCCCTGTTGAGTGTGGTTTACAAAAGGACTTCCGAGATCCAGCTGACATTTCCCTGCATTATTTTGGCTTGAATTACTGGCACAATTCAATAAAACTCCGTCCTCAAAGATGCCTAGAAATGCGTTTCGAATATCTGTAAAAGCATAAAGAAGAAAAGAGTTTAAAATTGGTTTCAGAAATGACAGATTGATAGACTCACACACACATAATAATAATAATAATTTGACATTTTAAGGGTCGTTGGGCTTTTAGAAATTGTCAGCTTGATGCTTTATTGATATCCTACCCACTCGTTGGGAAAAATAGCACAGCCTACTTAGTGAGTATATGTCGCCCACGTTTGTCAAGCCCGTAGAATGTCGTAAGACCTCTTCGCATGCAAGCAGCTTATGCCAATTTGTTTGCCATCTTGCGTCTACAAATCGCAAATCGCCTTTGAATGGGCTTAATAGAGAAATTCAAGTCTCAAAGTGAGTATTTCGATCTAATGACAACACAGTGGGTACCGAATATGGGGGAAAACCTATGGTAACTGTACATTTTATGGCGTTTATATATGTATCTAAGGTGATACAAAAATAATCATAAATCGTATGTACTTTATAATAAAATATTAATAAATATCATAATGAAACACAGATATTAGTTATGGTAAAATCTTAGTATTAAATGTACTTTAAAACAGAATAATAATAAATATCTTAACTAAAAATGAACCCAGTTATTAGGAATTGTGAAATACGAGTTTTAGTGAATTTATTACGTGAACCACAAATTTGAATATACCAATTTCTCCTGTACTAAAATAATTCCCAGATGTGCGTAATCATGGTCAACACCAGGCTCCAGTAGTCTGCCTAATTAAAGAGGCATCGGATTGCAGAAAATATTTGAGCCAGGACACAGCTTCCTATATTGTTCGCCTGTCTTTGTCGACATCTACATCCACATCCTTATTGTCGTCGTCATTGTCATCGGCATGTCCTTGTTTTATGCCCACCCCGGGAAGTCCTAATTAGTATTAACCACTTGTTGCATGATACAGTTAATGCCCCTTACTTTTTCTCGTTTCCCTCTTCGCAATAATATGCATTCACATTACGTATACGCAGCGATGACGTGTTGTGGCTTGCATGTCGGGCCACTTTAATCGCCCCTTTATTGTTTAATCAACTCAATTACAACGTGAGTGGGGAGTACAGTGCATGTAATGGTTACTCAACATTCATGGAACCAAATAAATTTCAAAAACATTCGAATCGGAATTAAATCCAATTAAAAGGGAAATTCAAAACTGAATGTACACTCTTGTTTGTTTTTCCCAGAAATCCCATCACATTTAGCCAACAAAAAAGTTGGGTTTTATGCGCTTAATTTGTTTTTGCGTACCATGAATTTTTAATAATTCAACTTTTTGAATTTCGCTACCATAACCAATGGTACTCTCCCCTTGACAGTTGTAAAATGTAATTAAAATTACAATGCAAATTCTGGGAAATATTCTACTGAAGTAATATATAAACTGTGGTTATCTACCCACATAGCGAGTGTATCGATTTAATATTGTGATGAGGCTATCAATTTGCAGAAACCATATGAGTGTTTTGTGTGAGGGAAGAAATATTTTCGGGAAATATTATTTAATTAAAAACTCGAATTTGTAGTGGGCGTGGATTTGGTATTTATTTTGTGACAACTTATTAATTGTATTTCTATACCCTTGTAAAGGATGTTAGGAATTTAGACAATGAAGGAGGCCAATAACTATGTGGTTGTTTAATGTACCGAAGAATAAGCTACTTTAAAAAAATTACTACCAAGGGTATCTTGGAATCGTATTGGAAATAATATTTTGACTTTCCTATATTTTTTGACAGCTTTATTAGTTCGTAGGTTGTAAAGGGATTCCCACAGCACTACTTGAAAATAAATGCCATCAATCATTGTTATGCGTTTGTGGCTTTCAACGAGTCTCAATTATTTTTATGACTTTAATCAAAAGATTTGCGGATTTTTCGTTCTTCCATTTTTTATATAAAGCGTACAGCTGCTTCTGTAATTTTTTAGTCTGAATCGATTGCGAAAAACCCATCTGGTTTTCGGTCCTTTAACGAGAGGTTGCTGCTGACAAATTAAATCGACTTGAATGCTAAATGCCGTTCGCTTGGGTGTTGATAATTGAAATAAAATTTCCCGCCTAACAAGGGAAAGAATAACAAAAACAGCGAAAAAGGGGCGGAACGGACAAGGACTGTAATATAGGGAATACCGAGTGGAGGTGGACAAGTGGGTCCAAACAAAGGTAAACTTTGCCCGCAGCCTTAGCCATGGTCTTTGGCCTGCTGGCCGCCTTTGTTTGTCGTCGACTGAAACTGAAAGTCCGACCACCTTGAATGCCGCTTTATTAAGTATTCATTATTGTCGACTGTGATTGTGTGTGTCTTGTGGGCGTTCTGCGGGCATCATTGTGTGCGTTTGTGCACTGTGAAAAAAAGGTCCTGTTAAAAATTTAAAATAATCTTTTTTTTTTTATATTTTAAAAAATAATTTATGACAAAGTTCATTAAACTGAAAAAATATTCTACCTGAATTTTAGAAAATATGATGTTAGTTAAAAATATTTTCTTAGGAACTATAAACGATTTTCTCAAATAAAGTAAGCTTTCTTTTCATTCAGGAATGCATTCCTAAAATAAAAAATCGTCGTTCTTAACTCAGAATTTTTACAACGCAGGGACAATATTTGTTTTTACTTTTAAGGGCTTATCAAAACTTCCTTCTAAATAAATTATATCACCAAAACCAAAAAACAAAATATAATTAGTAAAGGTACGAAAAGTTTTACATTCAAAATTAACTTAGCTCTTTTTCTGCGAGTGTTGGGGGTACGTAAAGGAATTACTTGGTTGTGGTCTGCCAATCGTAGTTCTCGACAGGAGGCAGGCGGAAATTGTAGAATCTCGGGTGGGTCCAGGTTCACCTCCGTCGGTCTGGACCCTAATTGCCAGCGGCACATTAATGTTTGTGTAATTAATTTTAATGATTGTACTTTGGCGCTCGGTGCCCTCCTAGATGTTACCAAAATGTGTCCCCAAAAACAAAAGTTTTCTTTTATTGCTCTCCTATTGTTCTTATTGGTTCTGAGATGGTTTTGCCGTGGTATTTTTGTTCTTTTTTGCTTAGCCTAGTTTCCAAAAGTTGTTTCGGCAAAACAAATAAGGAAAGGCAATAAAATATTGGGCAAAACAAAGCAATAAAAAAATCAATAAAGAGAAGGAAATGCAAGTGGGGAAATTAAATATATTTATAATATCAGCACTATTTAGTGAAAGCTTAAAATGTTTTCTGTGTAGAAGCGAAAGAATAACTAAAAGAAAATTGAACTGACAGTGCTTTCTATTATTCATTTACTAAAGTGTCGGTCATTTATTATGAAAACACTTTAATTCAATGTTATTATGAGAGACAAAAAAACACATTTTAATCCATAATTGATGTATTGTATACTTGTCTGGTTCGATTTGGTCTGCAAATCGGAGTGAGAAATATACTTGCCCTTCTCGACCTGAGTACTTGTACTGTTGATTGCTCATATCTTGTCCTTTACAAGTACTCGTGACTGAAGTGGATTTTAAGTTGGCCGCAATTAGATGGCGACATAAACAAACTCTGTGGCCCCAGTACATATGTCAAGTTTGTGAAGAGGATGCCACAGGCTCCACAGGCAGACAACTACGCAGATTCCAAGGACCTCGCCTCGACAACCCAACAACGGCAAGGAGGATGTTCTTTTTAATGAATTGCGATGCGGACTAAATTTAGCCCACAGACATAGAGACAGACAGGCTGATTAGGGTGTCGGGGCATTTAATGAATTTTGCACAGGGCGTAATTAGGCAAAACAGGAAGTGAACGAGATGGAAAGGAGGAAGGACTCGAAATGGTATCGGATGACAGTTCAATGACAGTCGCCGACACGTGTAGGTCTTTATGTAAATGAAGGTGTCGCACTGACATCACCGTGTAATGGAATGTTATCAACTCGGTGCCGTGGCCTCTCGGCACTTCATTACTTTTATTTGATGTTTAAATTATGCCAGGAGTTAAAATAATACAAAAAAAAATGACTCAACGTATGCACGGCTTGGGAACATTTAACGCAATGAAATTTAATGAGCCCAAAATGGCGCGTTAAATGACAGGACCAGAGCCAGGAAGTGGATGCTGTCAAAGGCGCCCCAAAGTAAACTGATGTATTTTTAATTGCTGCATACATTAAAATAGATTTAAAAAGAGCAGCCCTCGCTTGGAATGTGGGTGAAAAATCTCTACACCGAAAAAAGGATTCCCAAGTCAGTGTGTGTGGACAGCTGGCATGCAAATATTTACAGCTGCCAGAAAGGGAGCTTCGCTTTTAGGCCGGGTCGACAGGGTTCAATACTGGTTAAGTCCATGCAAATCTGCCTGGAAACTCTGCTCACTCAAATCGGAGCCATGCACAGTGACCTTATGCCAAGTCCACAAGTCGCAGGGTTAAGTGAGGTCTGAGCACTTGAGCCATCGGCTTATTAAAATATTCCACCTAGGGCATTGCACTTTGAATGTAATTCTATTTCGGGGTAATCCCGCTTATAAATTATTTCTGAATATAAAGTACCGACGACGTGATAAATGGAGAGGGATAACATTTTGGAAGAGAAATTTGCCTATGAATAAGTATAAATATATTATCTGCTTACTAAAACCTCATAGAAAAAACGAAGTTAATATTTTTAAATTGGAGGAACCCATATATCAAATAAATAAAAAGAAAATTCTAAAAAAAAACCTTAATACTAAAAGGTATTATTGGTGTACCACTTTTTAGTATATTGCCCCATAAAATTCGTTTTTTCAACATTAGTTCTATTTTGGAATCCGCACCGTTGTTCCCTAGACCTGCAATAAATTCAGTTTTTATCTCGAGAGCACCCTTTTACTTTCCTGCTAACAAAGTTGTCAAACAGTCGTTTGTGACCCTGATTTCGCAACTTGTTTTCAGTATTTTTCACGCCACTCTGCTGACAATAATGGACAAAAGGCGCGACTTAGGGCCAAGAGAAATGACGGACCATTTCGAAGGGCTCTGGAGAG